GACGGACATGGCTAAATCGTCTTAGAATTTTACGCTGATCAAGAATATATATACTTTGTTGGGTCTGACATGAGTATTTCGAGGAGTTACAAACGGAATGACAAAATTAATATACCCTCCATAGTATGGTGGAGGGTATAAAAAAAAAACGTCAAAATGCCGATCATCGAAAGGTTCCATTAAATGGAGGATATACGAAAACGTGGGCCTGTATAGACAATTATCTGCTAGCATCAGGTGGTGCCTATTGCGAACTCCGTCTGAAGTTCGAATCTTGAAATTGTACACGAGGGCCACTCTTTGTAAGGGCTGGGTTTTTGGAAACTCCTACTATACAGGTACGAAAAATACTAAGATACTAAATATTGAATTGTTTGTATTGGACAAACGGGATAAAAGTTACTGATTGAAAATTTCTAAAATGGTACTAAACTTCTAAAGTGGTACCATTTGGTATTATATGAGTGGATAGAGCTAAAAACTTGAAATCAAGAAAAAAATTGAGAACCTAGGCTGCAAAATAAATTTGGTGTATGCAGGTGTCTATATGGAATGTGTATTGGATGTGCAAACTGTACAAAATGGCACTAGATTTTGGAACAGTTTGGTTTGGTTTGAACGGGTGTAGCTGGAATTTTGAAAATTTTAGGCTTGTGATAAAGAGGTAGTTTTGGTGGTGGAAAGGTAATGAATAGTACTATATGTGGTAAAATTTGCTATTGGGTAAACGCGATAGCGCTTGAAAGCGCTGAAAGAAATTTGGTATTAGAACTCTGCTGGAGTCTGTGGCTAAGATATGGAGTTAGTTTTCAAAATTTTCCGATTTTCCAACCGCCGACCCCACTTTGGTAAGAAAATCGGAAAAATTCGATTATCTGAAATCATTTAGGAATATAAGGCATATACACTTATATACAGAGTCCAGCCCCAATGACGCAGCAATCATAGTTTTTGTGCAATTCAGATTTTTCCATGCATTTTCCCTACCACCAACCCCACTTTGATTAGAAAATCAGAAAATTTCCATTATCTGTAATCATTAAGGAATATAATGTGTATATATACATAGAAAGTACTCCTCGAGACCTTTTATTTGAGCCCCAATGGCGCAGCTATTATGGTTTTTCCGCAATTTAGCATTTTCCATGCAGTGTCCCTACCCCCAATCCCATGCTGATTATTCGTCCTCGCCGGGAAATTGTATAATTTTCCTGTAAATTTAGGATAATTGGTTTTATCTTCATATTTTATTGAAAATACGTTGATTTATCAAAAAATAGTAAAAATCATGAATATTTAAAGAAAAAAAACTATTTTTTAATTAACCCCTTGTGCACCAACACAAAATGCAAGTGGTTTGTGTCTTTGCTATTACGTTTTAAAATTTATCTTCACGGGCATATGTCACTGTTGGTGTCTGTGGTTAGAATATAGAAAAATACTAAGCAATACTAAATTTGTTTTTTTGGGTGAAGGGATAGAGCTGAAATCCCGAAATTTGTTATGTCACTGTTGGTGTCTGTAGTTGAGAGAAGGAGGTGGTTTTGGATATGCATATGGTGACGTTGAAATAATTTTGGATAGAGAAGATTGATGTTGATCCACTTTTGCGATGGTTTTAACAATATCCTCTATGGTAAACTTCAAAATGAAAGATTTTGAAGATTTTTGGGTGTAAGAGGTAAATATTACCTCCGAAAAATTATAATCTTAAATAATACATAAAATTTTTAACGTTGGTAGATTTGGTACGATGTTGATTACAACATTTGTCAACCTGAACAAGTTGTGCATTTCGAATACTAAGATCGACGGCCCAAAAATAAATCTGAGTAAAATTGTATCAATCTACAATAGACCAGACATATAGACCGATAGGGCTTAAACGTCATAGAATCTTACACTTATATAACCTCTTGTGGGGTCTAAGATTCTTATTTCAAGGAGTTACAAACAGAATGACAAACTTAATATATATAAATGATTCAAGATTTTAGTATTGCAAATTCCAAGGATTCCAAAATATAAGACTTAATTTTATCACTTGCAACTGTACCCGAGATACCAAAACAGGATTAAAACTTTTCAGACACTCTTTTAGTTAAAAGTCACAACATTTGGTTTACAAGCAACAAAAATTTCATAAATCAAATAAAAGCAAAAGCAAACACAAACACAAAGATAAGAACAACAATAATGGGTTCCTGCTGTTGCCAAGTAAAACAAAACTAAAAAAGAAACTACCGACCGACCTTTCCCCTTGTCAATTTTCTTTCTATCTTATTTTTGGGACATTCCTCCTTTCACTGCCACCGACGAAAAGAACCCAAAATAAGCGTTATTAAAGAAAATTAAACATTAATAACGACTGTTTATAGATATCTACGTCACTGTTTAATTAAGGTGATAAGATTACGAAATTATTTTTATTAAAAAAAAGGTGACACATATTTATTTGAGAGGAAGGACCTACAAACTTACATTTAGTTTAAGTTAATATTTAATTATGGATCTAAAACATTTCTCAATTTTCCTAAAAAAATTGGTTTGTTTGAATTTTCCATTTACTATTACTAATAAAAAAAACTAACCAATCTAATCATATCGAAAGCAAATGAAAACAAAAAATATTGCCCTAACTTTGAAACTGAATCACCACCTCGATCGTCCGCGTTCTGTTTATAATCAGCAGTTTCTTACACCCCAATTATTTATCAAAGGCAGACATGTGTGTGAGTGTGAGAGCTTAAACGCTTATTCATTGCTGCTACTTGGGTTTTTATTAGCAATAATTTCTTTTTTAAATAATATCAAAAAGAAATATTTTGTTTATAATCATTAATTTATTAAGAAATGGGTATTGTTTGATTTGCAATTAACCACGTCGTCATAGTCACCACAATCATCATCAGCATCTTCTGCTAAAGCATCATGATTATTTTACTGAGAAAGTGTGGAAGTAATCCCCCCTCCCCGCCTTCCATCGTTCTATTTTATATTCGTTCAATTCAATTCATTGAAAATTTGTTTATATACATATTTGTTGTTATGATTATTTTCTTTATAGGTGCAGTGTGAACTTGAATTATTACTTATAACCAAAATAAAAAACAATTGAAAAAAAAAATCAAATAACCATGAAAATGTCTACTCAAATAGACCCGTGATCAAGGGTGGAGGAGGAAGAAATAAATAACGAAAACAAAAAATTGAAATTGCACAAATTTACCTGCATCCGGAAATAAGGTATTTCATTTTAGTCATATGTAAGGAATTTCAATATTTAAAAAATGGAATTTGCAATGTGAAGTTATTGCTTTTTTAAAGGGGAATAAATAAATCAATCAAAAACACAGAACATGTGTAAATAAAATATATTAAGGTTTAGGGCCCTTCGTTTTGGTAAACATCAAGGCTACAATGAAGACTGGCCTAAACTATAGAGAAGGGAAGTAATCGTTTTTCCAAAACATAAAAAATAGCGAAACGGAGACATTCCCCTTTAAAAAGTGCTTCTAAAGTTATGATAAAACCGACTATCAGGTTATATGGCGACTATATGAAAACGTACACCCGTATAGCCAATTTGCCAGAGAAGGCGGTGCCCATTGCGAATTCCAAATACCAATTTGAGATAATTCCGTTGAAAAATGTGGCTTAAATCGGGAAAATATCGCCATTAAAATGGGGCTATACGATGGAAGGTGTTGAACTGTATGTACAGTTAATTTTCAGTCATAGCAAGTGGTAGCCATTGCGAACACCAAATATCAATAATTTGGCATAAATCATTAAAATACCGAAAAACGCTAGGTATTTTATGTGGGGCTGGGGACCTTGCGAGGAGTTTAAACATCCACTGAGCCACCGGAATAGTGCTAATTTGTTTAGAGCTGGGGCCCAAAACCTTTGAAATATCAAACATCGTAGGGATACGTTTTTTTTTTTTACGGAAACACACGCACTTGCTATTTATGACAGATCTGAAAGAAAATCATATTATTTTGATTTCAAAATAAAAGGACAATGTGATTACCTTCATCTGTTTTCCCATGTGTTTTTCTATGCAAAATGAAATGAACAATATTTTGCCGAGTAGGACTATCGTCAACCTCGAATCTAAAACGCTATCTGAAAAGTATATCTTAGTTGATAGAAGTAAGTGGTTAGAAATCGAAATGAATAGAATGAGTTATATTTATAGTTCATTTCCAAAGCTCACCTATATATTCATTTCATATTCAAACATAGATTGACATATTTATTCGTGTTTCTTTGACAATTCCTAGATAAGTTAAGTTGTTTGCCAAGAGCTATATGTACATTCCCCCAACAACAAGACATAAGCAATTAGCTTAAAAAATGCAGTTATTCCATAAGAGAATTAAATGAAATGATACCATCATAATATAGGTCTCTTTAGTTTTAAATTTTAGAAGAAGCAGCAAAACAACAACTCTCCAACCCTCCATAAATATGAAAACTATTTCCATCTCTCTCTCATTTCGCTCAATAAATGTCTCTCTTTTCTTTGCTCTCCCTTAACTTCATTACATTTGTTTTTGCAAAAATAGCATCAGATCAACACACACACACACAAACAAAGGCACACACACGCACAACCCATGCAAATGGATGGATTGTCAAATGCCGCCGCCACTAAGAAAATGAAGCACACGAGAAGAAACAAGAAGTGAGTGTCCAAGCCGCAGCAACAACAACATTTTATAACAATAAGAACAACAATAACAGCACTGGTTGAATTTCTGAGAAAATCACCTCTCCCCCTGACCAAACTGAAGTTACGACCATGGAGGATGAGTAATTTGCTTTGCAGTAAATCACCCGAATATATACAATAAACTATAACAATAACAAAAATAGCAGCGTTATAAACAAAAACACCTTTCCGTTTAATTTTAATTCTGATCAAAGTAAACATTTTTGCAAAGGGGAAATAATAATAATAAAAAAATGCAATTACAAAAAAACAGACGCACCCAACAGCAGCAATTTCACCTCCGATGCGGCACGTTCTCCTTCCTCACGCAATGCCCGATCGATGCTTTTGGAACGCTCAATAGCTTCCTTATCTCGCGCTGTACTTACGGCGCAGCCCATTTTGTGTGGAAATTGTTAATTTACAGGAGGAGTAACAGGCAAAAAGCAACACAGCCAGACAAGTTTCTTTGTGATAAACAACAGTGAAAAACCGCAAAGAATTGATTCACTTCACTCGGATTCTTCTCTTTTATCAATTTCTTTGATTTTTTGGTTTCTTCTCCTTCTTTGCAAAATAAATAAAAATATTTTCTTTTTAGCACTTTTTGTATTCACCAATTTTTGGTTTCTTTTAACTTCTCTGCCCGGATATTTTTAGGCGTCGTTTGCGTCTGCGCTTTTTGTTTTCTTTCTTCTTAAATATATATATAAAAAAACAACTATTTCGTTATGATTCACTACACTATATTCGTAATATTTTGCTTGAATTTCAATACACAATTTTCTAGAACAGCGTTTTGTAAAAGCCGCAAATTCTTTTTCTCTTCTTGTATTACATTTAAAAAAGCCAACAAAAATGACCCACTCCAATTCGTCCGCTACTCTCTGCGCTTCGTGTTCAAATGCGAGTGTGAGCAGACAACGAAGTGGAACGATTTTTTCGGCGGCGGCAGCTCATTGGGTGTTTGGAATATGGATGATCAGTTCGTAAAGCCGCACGAATGTTTAATGGACGGCGTAAAGAAAGCTGTTACCCATTGCATGATCGATCAATTTAGGATTGTGTTAGCCGACTTTCGATTAATCGGAATTGAAAATATCGAATGAAAAATTATATAAAATTGTAAAATTTGTTGAAAATCGTGTATTATAATAACTTCCGAATGACATCGTATAAGAAAACATATAAAAATCTACTTATGTTTGAAAAGACATTTACAATTTTTTGACATATCAATGTTCCCAAGCGTTGACGCATCTACCTGTATTGGTCATCCCTCAAATGAGATCATTTATCGGCAATACAAATTATGATTTTTAAAACCGCAAAACAAACATTAAAATCTTGAATGAAAAAGTATAATGTTGAACGGGCTATGTATCATGGTACAATAAAATGAGTGCCCGACTTTTGCCAATTTTGTGTATGTATTTGTTGTCTTGAAAAATAAAAACAAAATATTTTGGAAAACAATGATTAGAAGCAAGTAAACTTGTTGGGCGCGCATAACCTCATTTGCCATTAAATTGAAAAATTGAACACTATGGATCATATTCTTGAGAGAACATCCAAACATTTCATTCATCTTTCGCGCTATTTGACTCATTTTAAAAATGAACAAAAAATATCAAATAAATGAAAACAACTTGTTGCCTATGACAGGAAGCGTGGATAGCCTCAGGGCTGTATTTCTGTAGATGTACGAAACTGTTCTACCTCCTAATTGTACCATGGGTAGATCGACTCCAAATGTCCTTAAACGGATTTGGTCTAAAGAGATCAAGGGTCTGAAACCGTTATTTCGTTAAGGCACGTTTTTGTCTAGTCATATGGCTGAGGATATACTTAATTTTACGTTATTCATTACACTTTTACGATAAATATTATCGATTACTGTACAATTGTGCAGAGATGTATGGTGCATCACATAGTCATATGTCTAACACAACATTGTTGTATTTTATAAAGTAGTGAATTTTTGCATTATACATGTGGATAGAGATGTAATTTTCATTATATCGTCGAATTTGTAGCGGAACAGTTTTGTATTTATAAATATGTGGTGAGTTCGTAACCATCATATGGTTGTTGTCTACAATATTAATGAAATACGACCATATGATGAATTTACGCTTATGTTGTGCAATGCAACACTATTTGTTTATTGGGCTGTGTTCAGTAGACATTACAACCATGACTTATGTGTTCAGTGGGTAAAAAATTTGTGGATTTTAAATATAATTAAAAAACTTGGAAATTCAAAGGAATGTAAATAAAAGATAGCTTTAATTCTAATATACGATTTTAAAATTTATAAATTCTTGGCTCTAAGGTATGATTTAAAGTTTTGTTATTGGTTGAGAAATGTTTTGACTTGTTACGATCCCGTTTAAGGTGAATTTTTGCTATTTTTTTTTTGCAAAGGAACCAAAAGATACCATAGAAAATAAATAAAATCTAAATCTATAAATAAGAAATCATAAATTTTCACTTTTAATATATAAATTTCGAATGATATCTTCTTAAAGACGTTTAAACTTAGATGTCATGGTACAATGATATCAAGGTACCTACCTTGATATCAACTCGAAAAAAAGACTAGGAAAAATTTATTAAAATTAGGAAATATTTATGCATATATGGGTCCAAGTTTAGGTATAGCCCCCATACAACGATACCTCCGATATTCGGTATTTAGATTATTTTTGCCACATTTTTCCACGGATTTGTCTAAAAATTGATATTTGTGGTTCATAATAGGTTCTAGCTACTAGCTACATCGGTCTACTCCTTCTTAAACCTCCCAAACAAAAAGTCAAAATTTTGAATATCCATTAAGCTCATAAAATGCGAAATTAACCTTCAGACTTGGTACATCTCAATATTTCTATCAACACAAGATCTGTTACAAAGATGGTAGAGATCGGGCCATTCCTTCTGTTACCTCCCCCACATAGGTGATGGAGTGGGCCGCCATAACTGCCGATGGTCGTTCTCCGCTCGTATCAATCGACATCAGAATAAATGCCGAATATTATGGTGAAAATATTTTGGAGGTGTATTAAAGCCTTGGGCACCCAAACATTTTGGCCGCAGACCTTGGACATTCCAACAGGACTCAGCACTATTCCACCCAGGAATGGTTACAAAATGAGGTTCCTCAGTTCATTTTCAGCGCACAATGGCCACCAAAATCTCCGGATACCAATCCATTGCACTATTGTGTCTGGAGTATTTTGGAAAGCAAGTTTGGCACTAAGAAGTACCAAAGTGTCGATCACCTCAAGCAAGCGCTTCGCTGGAAATGGGCCAAAATACAGCAGATTTCATTGGCCGTTTGAAGCAATCATTTAAAATAAAACTTATTCTAAAATTTTAAGCTATTTCCGATATTTTTATACCCTCCACCAAAAAAAGTATGGAGGGTATATTAAGTTCGTCATTCCGTTTGTAACTCATCGAAATAATCATTTTAGACCCAACAAAGTATATATATTCTTGATCAGCGTAAATTTCTAAGACGATTTAACCCTGTCCGTCCGTCTGTTGTAATCACGCTACTGTCTAAACGAATTAAGATAGGAAGCTAAAAAGTTGCACAGATCTCTCTTTTGTCTGCAGGCAGGTCAAGTTCGAAGATGGGGTATATCGGTCCACGATATCGTATAGCCCCCATATAACGGTACCCCCGATATTCGGTATTTTGATGATGTTAGCCACATTTTTCAATGGAATTGTCTGAAAATCCACACAAGGAGTTCCTTGTGGGTACTTTATACCTCCGCAGAGAATTATCTATATATGTTCAAAATATCGTATAGCCCCCATATAACGGTACCCCCCGATATTCGGTATTTTCATGATGTTATCCACATTTTTCAATGGAATTGTCTGAAATTCCACAAAAGGAGCCCCTTGTGGGCATTTTACCCCCTCAATTAGAATTGTCTATATAGGTCCACGATATCGTATATCCCCCATATAACTGTACCCCCCGATATTCGGTGTTTTGATCATGTTAGCCACATTTTTCAACGGAATTGTCTGAAAATCCATACAAGGAGTTCCTTATGGGTACTTTATACCTCGGAAGAGAATTATCTATATCGGTCCACGATATCGTATATCCCCCATATAACGGTACCCCCGATATTCGGTATTTTTATAACTTTACCCACATTTTTCAACGGAATTGTCTGAAAATCCACACATGGAGTTCCTTGTAGATACTTTATGCCTCGGCATAGAATTAACAAGTAGTTCCTTGTGAGTACTTCACCCCCTGAGAGAGAATTGTCTATACAGGTCCACGATATCGTATATCCCCTATATAACGGTACCCCCCGATATTCGGTATTTTTATGATTTTACCCACATTTTTTATCGGAATAAAGATCACGACCATATTCGAAATAGTAGGGTGGGTAACGATGAGTGTGGTATTTGAGTGTGATATATTTTTCTGATTCTGATACAACATTACCAAGAGTATACTTTTCCTAAGCTTGGTGGTGCCTTAGAGTAATCTTAGGGCATTATGGGCTATATGGTGCTCAATCAGAAAATTTGACGAGCAATAATATATATATATATATATATATATATATATATATATATATATATATATATATATATATATATATATATATAAAACATATTGACGAACACAAATATTAATAAATTCACTGCATTGTCAGGCCTTGATCGCGATGACATTACATATTTTAATCGTATTTTCGATAATATGGGCGAAAAACATACAAAGCTCTTGAATAAATATCAACGTTATTAGAAATCCAGGGTGGCAATGGCACATTTGAGAATTTAAAATGCATTATTTCAATAGCATTCATTATTGGTTTAGTTTTTAAATTATCAGGATTTTGACAATTTCAATTCGATGCTACAAATGTTTATCCATGTCGAAATTAGCACTAATTATTCATTATCTGTTTAATTTTCCTTACCCTTGTTTATTTGGCTTTCTTTATTCAAGGTTTCTTTATTGATCTTGGTCTTAGTTTTTTTTTCGTTAATTCCAAATGAACTGTTTCCAATTTACCAATTCGACATTTCAACAGTGACCACCATCATTGATGTTGTTGTTGTTCTTGCTGTTGCCATTGCCACGGCGGCTATTGTTTGCTGTTTTTCTGTTGGCTTGAAGAGAATCGTTAAGAAAACAAACAAAAATGTTTGCATCAATCCCACTGTGTGAAATGGTGAATAATCTACAGAAATTAATTTGTTCATGGCGCGTTATTACTACTTCGTTCATAATTTATGGTGTGAGAATTTTTTCTCCTTTAAATATTTGTTGAATATCACAAAGAACATATTCTTTGGCAAAAATAGCAGCAGGAGTACTGGGAATTCATTGAAACACAGTCAGGATGGGAATTAAATTTTGATATGGAGTACCCACAAATATTTGGTTAGTTACTAAATTGAACATTTTTAATAATTAGTTGCTGAACCAAATTTGGTCGTCGAGGAGAAAAATTGAGAAAGGTGTAGATTTAAAAGTTCCTAAAATGAAATGTTGCTGATCGCTATGTTTGTAAGATCACTAGCAAATGCGGCTACTTCGTCGGCGAAAATTCCGTCTTTAAATTTTACCAGTTCATGTTATACCCTCCACCATACTGGGTGAGATGAAAAAACTACAACCAACTTCAGACTGCTGTCATTTCTAAGCCACTCGTCCAACAGCTGTTAAAATTATTCCAGTGACAGCTCATTACATTGTTTACAAGCGTACAAAAGCATTTTGGACAGAAATTTTCCAGAAAAAAAGTTATTCGTGATGGGATTCAAATGTGTGATTTCTTTATATTTGGCTGGAAAACCACAAGTGGCTATCGTTAGAGCACTCCAGAATTTAAATTTGAATAATTCTTTTGTGGCTCGTACCATCGCTCGTTATCGT